CGAAAGAAGGAAATAAAGAAAGAAAGGAAGACAATAATTGTTTTAGTGAAAGAAATGACAGTCTGAAAAAAGAAAGAAATGGAGAGATAGAAATGTGATATCAAGAAAGAAAGAATGAAAGAAATAAGGTAAGAAAGAAAAGAAAGAAGAAATTGCGACTTGCCAATACCCCATAAATAATATACTATCCCATTTTTATCGTGCGGAAAGAGAGAAAAACACTACTTGGTTTCACTGAAAGAATGAATGAAGTATTTAACGTCTCTTGTCAATACCTCATAAATAATACACTATTTCGTTTTGATCGCGTAGAAAGAAGAGAAAAGATACTACATGTTTTCAATGAGAAAATGAATGAATGAATGAAAGAGAAAAAGAAAGAAAGAAGGGAAGATAGAAGAGTTTACCGGCTGTTTCAGTGAAATAGAAAAAGTTGTCAATTTCATATCTTTTCATTTGTATTCACTTCTTAACTCTAGAACACTAACCATCAATTAAAGTTACACCACTACTAACCATGGGTATATCATAGCCGATTTTGAAAATATCAAAAAAAAAAAAAAAAAATTAAATATAAATCTTTATTTGAAATGTTTTACATGCAGGCACTTCAAACTTTATACTTTAAGTTAACATTAATAGGAACTGAAAAAAATATTTTTTATGTAAGAAAATCAGGTACTGAAAATTGTAATTAAAAATAGGAAAATTTGCGCTAGGTACTATATACCCATGGTTAGTGTTCTAGGGTTAAAATGATAACCAGCATTCATATTTATTATTGTTATTGCAATATTTTGTTAAATTTGTTAAACTCAAATATTTAATGATAAGATAGGGGAATTTCTACAGATATTTTATAGTCTTAGAACTCATCATGAGCTTATTCAATCATTAACTTAAAAAGTAAGATTCATCAGAATATTACAAGAAAACCATGAAACAATCACAAGAACTCAGTGTTTATATCCCCTTCAAGAAGTTGTTTAGAATAGACTAAAATTTATACTTTTTTTAGCCATCGTATGTCTCAAAACTGGCCTTCAAAAAAATAAAAATGTTGCTTTCTTATCGCCTTCTCTTTATTTTTCTGACATATTCTAGATTTTCTTATGAGTATTTTAATTTTCTTCCGTCATCTTTTCCAAATAAAAGAGAGAACCATGATCGCTTACGTTCTGAAGCGAAACGGCATTAAAAATTGTGAGAATAGCCATTCTCCTGCAGGAATCAACTGACATTAATTGACCAAACATTTATTGATAGTATCAGTTGAAATTTATAAAGACTTTTTTAAAAACAGTTTTCCAAGAAAGTTCTAAGAACTGTTAAAACGCTTCGTAGTATTGATAGGAATTTCTTTCCAAAAATTTCTCTGGTGAATTTTTGGGAGTTATAAACCTAATGGTCGGCTCAGGAAATGTTTGTGGCCTAGTATATGTGCTGATTCGTTAAAAAAATATCTTGAGCCGACCAATCATAGAAATGAATACAATGTGGAAACCAGTAATAAAGAGTGCTAGAGAAAAGCAATGAATAACAGAAGAAATGTAATATGATCACTGGTAAAAATGATTGCAGGGACAGTCCGAATAATGTAAATAGTTCAAGTAAAAATAGTACAATATATATGGGATAACTGGGCGCAGCTATTTTGGCGCTGGCGTTTTGGCATAGCTGTTTGGGCGGGCGCAGACTTTCGCCCGCCAGTTTTCGAGTGGTGACAGGCCTTTTGAGCACTAGACATTCGGGTGCCAGATTTTCGGCCGCCAGTCTTTCGGGTGCCAGACTTTCGGGCGCTAGACTTTCGCCCGCCCGTCAGTTTTCGGGTGCTAGACTTTTTGAGCACTAGATTCGGGTGCCAGATTTTTCGCCCGCCAGATTATTGGGCACCAGACTTTCGACTGCCAGATTTTTGGCCGCCAGATTTATTCAAACTTTCGGGTGCCAGACTTTTGGGCACTAGACTTTCGCCCGCCAGATTTTTATCGCCAGTCTTTGTGTCAGACTTTCGGGCGCTAGACAGTTTTGAGCACTAGACTTTTAAGCGGGTGCCAGATTTTTCGCCCGCCAGATTATTGGGTGCCAGACTTTCGGGCGCTAGACTTTCGCCCGCCAGTTTATCGGGTGTCAAACTTTCGGGTGACAGGCTTTTGAGCACTAGACTTTTGCCAGATTTTTCGCCCGCCAGATTTTTGGCCGGGCCAGTCTTTCGCCCGCCAGATTATCGGGTGTCAAACTTTCGGGTGACAGGCTTTTGAGCACTAGACTTTCAGGTGCCAGATTTTGGCCGCCTTTGCCAGGGCGCTAGACTTTCGCCCGCCAGTTTATCGGGTGTCAGACTTTCGGGTGCTAGACTTTTGAGCATTAGACTTTCGGGTGCCAGATTTTTCGCCCGCCAGATTATTAGGTGCCAGACTTTCGCCCGCCAAATTATCGAGTGTCAAACTTTCGGGTGCTAGGCTTTTGGACGCTAGGAAAAAATGTTGATTGATTTATT